TCCTGCTGATGGGAGAGGAGAATTTGGCTTATTTCTCAAAGGCAAGTGCTTGGGGTATTCATGTGGTGTGCTGCTGAGAGCTTGACCATCAGCCACTTTGAGATGGTCGTGTTCTTCCACCACTGCTTGACAGCACTTGATGCTGTGGTCTGTCAGCCTCTGTTCTAGCTGTTTGTCAAGGCTGGAGTCTCTCTGGCATAGCTGTTGCTTCAGCAGATGGAGGAGACATAGCTAATAACCTTGGAGCAACTGGGATACGAGTGCAGGATTGAAAAGGTTCAGTAGTTGCATGCGTGATACAGCCTCCAGACCATGTACACTGGGATCAAACAGAACTGCCACTGGTACTGGTGACCTAATGGTTTCACAGTAGTCTTCTGATAATATTTTATCAGCCTATACTTATCAGTAATTAGGATCACTTAATCTTCTTTGTCTAACTTCTGAGTGATACAACTTCAAATTAAAATCCTGTGATGAATATTTATGGCTGAGCTGGTATTTTGCGTGAAATGCAGCTCAAACCAACCAGAAATACCTTCAAGTTGATACAGCAGAGGGAAGAAATAATCTCCCACACAAGAATCCAAATAAGATGGGTAGCTGTGCAAGTCTGCTGCAAAACAAGGTTTCGTTTCACATTGCCTCAATCTGTATTTTGTTGTTTCTCAGACTTTTGGACAAGCCTTAATTTAAAGTGAATGCACCTTATTCTCTGCCAGTTGTACATGGTCAAAGGCAATTTACCCTTGTATGTCCTGTCTAGAACATTATACATGTACCAACACCCTTACTAAAACGAGTGGTTGTGTTGCTGAGACGTAACTATTAACTTGCAAAGTTGCATGCACATGCTTTCTAGTTGGAAGGGCCAGAAACCTGTGCATCTATGGCATCTTATGCCCTTTTATTGTAGGTACCAAGCAGGAAGACACCAAAGTGGTAATAACATCTGCTTTAAACAGAAATCCAAGTTACAGCAGAGAATGTGGGGACCTGGGGAGTGTATTAGTAGTAGTTCTGCTGTTTTAAGTTTAGTGGGAGCTGGATCTGACTCATTTGTTTCTTTTCATTAGAATTTGATCAAAAGCTTACTGAAATCAGTGGAAAGACTTTATATTTTTAATGAGTGTTTCCATGAACTTCGGTGGGTTTTGGATCAAGTCTGGAATTTGTAGTGAATCCATCATTACTCATGAATTCAATAGGGTTAAATCCCTTCCAGTGTAGAAGGGCGAAGGATAGAGACATGCTTTTCTTTAGAGTCATAGCTGTATGTATTGAAACTTGCAATGCATAAAGCACTTGAAGTGACATAACATCACTGGTGAAGAGCAGAGAATCAGGGCAGAAAGCGAGGGTTTCTAATAACTTGTGTAGGGTTTGAAGTGGTTGACCAAGATGCATGAACTAAATTACAAACATCAGTTCCAAAGACATGGTTTCAATTTATGAAGAAACATGTGGTTTAACAGACACTTGTTTTCCTAATTGGATAATAAACCAGAATGAAATTCTTGAAGCTGCCCATCTCTGAATCCTCTCTTTTGTTCTAGAGCAGTAGTTCACTAACACTGCAGGTACATAACTTCTGATGGCTGACTGTCCAGTGGATTATATATGATCTAGATGAAAAGCTGAACAAAAGCCATCAATAGCAGGCACTGTTACTTCTGCGGTTTGTGCTGGTGGAAGAACATCCTTTCCTTGTCAGTGCCTCCATAGAGGTGCAAGCAGGAATCTCTGTCAGGGCTTGGGGCACTCTAGCTTGTGGGACTGCATATACAAAAAGCTTTGTAAACGGACAGAGTTTGTGGACTTTGTTTTCTCAGATGAGTGATGTAGAAGCTGGAGGAGCTACAGTGTTCCCAGATTTTGGGGCAGCAATATGGCCCAAGAAGGTAAGTCTGAATGTGTTTGCTTGATTCCTCCTTTCTCCCGATAGTCTCATCTTCCTTACAGTGCATTTAAAAATCAGTGATGTGGCAAAGTGCTGTTTGCTGCATCTTGATGGACAGGCAGCTGTGTATCAAGGCAGCTCTAGCTAATCTTGGAGTCTGCAGGGATGCTTCCTTTGCTTTATAATGTGCAGTATGAACAGTGTCTATGTAGAGCTGTTAAAAACTTGTATTCAGGTAGAACGCTCTGGTCTGACCATGGCCGAATTCATCGAGTGGGACTAAGGGTTTCTTCATGTGTTGTCAGTGGTGGCCTATGTTAAAATGCTTCATAAAAGCATTCAAGGCATTTCCCTACTCCCCCTTACTGTAACCTGAGTAATTCTATTGTCCAGGTTCTGACTAACCCAGGTCTGGTTTCACTTTCCAGGGAACAGCAGTGTTTTGGTACAACCTTTTCAGAAGTGGTGAGGGTGACTATAGAACAAGGCACGCAGCTTGTCCGGTACTAGTAGGGTGTAAATGGGGTAAGTAATACTCCTTTAGGAACAAAACTTGTGTGTGTGCAAAGCCAGTGACATACTGAACCCTTTACAAAGCCTTTAGTAACCTGGGTGTTGCTGTTTTAGCTATTGGAGTAATTTGCCCGTAATGAGAACTCCCCCCATCAGTATCATGTAGTATCAAGCAGCTGCATTGTTCAGCTGTAGTTTCTCTAGTGAGTTTGTGTCAATGATAGCACAAAGTGTGTAAGAATGTCCCTGGGTTTGTGTAGGGTGTCAGCATCGGGATGACTTGACTTATCACTTGGCTAGAGTCAGGTCTGTTCCTACAAAGAATTGTGCTTAGCTTTAACTGCAAAAGGAGAGCTCCTTGAAGGTAAATGTGAATGTCTGGACACTGGGGATTTCTGCTAACTGCTGAAAGCTTCTCAAGCTTCATGTCATCCCATACGCATCTCCTCAGCCTCCGAGGTATTCCCCTGGAGTGCCAGACCTATAAATACCAGACCCAGAATACACTGCTCTGGTACTGCTGGTCCCAGGATTGTGCAATCGGAAAGATATTTTCTTCCCCAGCCCTTTGCATCTTCCTGTGTCTTTCCCATGGGTGGGTAGCGAAGGATAAGCAGGGATGCTCAGACTGACAGATGCAGTTTTACTTGCAGTAACCATCTGGGTTGTGGTGATGCACGCACTGGTTGCATGGTGGTAACTAATTTCACATCCTTATTTCCACAGTGTCAAACAAATGGTTTCATGAAAGAGGAAACGAATTCTTGAGACCTTGTGGGAGAACAGAGGTTGACTGAAACCCAACCTGCTGCAGGCCTTTGTCTCCTTTTCTACTGTTGTCTGTTGCAGTTCATTTCTAAGAAATGATCCATCTTTTTGTCCAAGAGTCCTGGCACTTTACCAAAAAAAGAACAACAAAATATGTAACACCAGTGAAAGGAAGTAAATGGCATTGTTCACACACTTGTGTCTTGGTCGCTGTTATTTCCATGTCCCCCCTGCCTTCCACCCTCCCAGCTTTCTCTGTAGTAGTGGTGCATTCAGTATGTTTGGGTGCCTGGTCTTGTGCCTTTTGTACCTCAGAAGATTTAGATGTTAAATATTTCTTTGAACCAAAGTTGGTTTGGGGTTTGTTTTTTAATTTTGTGTACATGTTGATTTTATTGTATTTCTATGGATCACAGGTTTTGAATCAAAAATAAATGTTCTTTCCATAAAGTGATTCTCTATTCTGTGTCCTTAATATGTATAAGGGAGCAGTGGGCCCTTACTTTTTCCTTTGAAGGCCTGTTGCTTTGTTGCCCTTTTTCCCTAGAAAATACATGGTGGTTTTGGACAGTGTTTTTTTAAGGCTCCAGCACTCGCCACAGAACTGTTGCACCTTCAGTACAAGCTGGAAAGGTTTAATTCATGTATTGAAACTGTTATGTATCCTGGGGCTGTAAGTGACACTCATGAGAAGTGATGTTAACTTTGCTCTTGTGGGATACTACCTATTTTTGACACAAACACTTAAAATCTGAAGTCTTTCAAGACTTTCAACAGTCTTGGCAACTCTTGACTCTATTGTTGCAGTCAGCTGGATGGCTTGTGAGCAGATCTTTGTCTTGCCCTTCAGACAGCTGGGAATGCTCATGCCCTTTGAACATTACAGTACAGATTCACCTTTGCCTTTTTGCTTTGTTAGCATGTTGGTAATGGCCACAAGGCAACATGCAGAGAACAGTGTTGGCAATGATAGAAAGGAAATCCCATTTCTGAATTACAATTCAGAAGAAATGGCAATTAATTGTTATAATAATAAATGAGCAAAGAAGTTGTGGAGGAATAGGCAGATGTTTCAGAAACGTAGAAACTTGCTGGTAGTACCAGACTGTTGTGTCAGTAGGTGACTGTGTGCGGTGGACTGACCTCAGATCTCTCTCCCTGGCCACCTTACAGTGTGGGCATGGCTTTGTGGGAATATGGCTGATTGCAGTGAACTTAGAGCCAGGAATGGTGCTGGGTTTACAGCCATCACTTACTGCTTAAAGACTGGCTTGGACAATTGTTAATTTATTGACACACGAAACTGGCCTGAGAAAATGAAAGAAACTTCATTTTGCACCAAAATGTCCAGTTGCAGTCGTGATTGTCAGATGACAAACAAGAGTTTCCTTTGTCCTTCTCCATTGCCCTACATTGTCCAAAGACTGGATGAGCCGGGATGAGGTAATGCTTCAAACACCTGCCAGGCAGGATTAGCCGCAATGGACTTGCTCTCCTCCTAGGAAAGACTTGTGGAACATGAGTTTAATGTCTTGGGTGTATGTCATTGATTTATTTTATTGGTAATAAAGCAGTGTGGCTCAGCCATGTACCTTCGTGTGCCCCAAATTTTACATGGTTATTGCTTTCAGTCCTTTAGGTGCTGCAAGTGAGTACATTAATTCACTGAAGTTTTAATGTGTACAACTGAAGAGAGTTGGGTTGCCCAGGCAGAGATTTGCTGAGCTCCAGTTGTTACTGAAATGAGAGGAACATCCAGTCTTGTGAGGAAGTCTGAACAGTTGTAGCAGGTAGCTATAGGAATAGCAAGGTTTTTTTCCTGAGAGCTTTAATGAGCTAGCACAGCTCAAGAGTTGCTCTCTAATTGCTCAGTGCTCCTTCGCTTGCCATGAATGTTGTGGTTTCTGGCTGGCTCCTCAGAATGTTTCATTGTTGACCTCTAGTTTTCTTAGTAAAATCTCTCAGCGCACATAAACTGTAGAAAAAAGGGGTTTATAAAACAAGCATTCAACATCTGACAGCCTCACAGATGTGAACAACTGCTGATGAGCCAAAGCCACAGTCTCTGCTTGGAACACTTCAGATTTCAGGGGGAGGAAGATGAACCTACTTAAGTTTCTGTCAACGTGGTATGTTGACAGATAAAGTTCACATCAGGACTCCGGCCAAAAATCTGCACATCCCACTTCTGAAACAGGGTAGTTGGTTGGGAAATACCATTGTGTTAACTGCTATAGCATATTGAACACTTAAAGATAACTTCACGTGCTGTTTTCTCTAGGAAAAACCCTATTTTCTGGGTTGTCTTCCACCTTGTTCCGGTCCATCCCTAAAGTGGGGTGTGATGAATGTGGATGCAAATGCCAAGCTTTTAGTGCTCTTTGAAGACTCGCTGCTAATCTGATCTGAGGAATAACAGCTATTTGAGAGAAAAGAACACATGTGACTTGTGGGCATTCAGCAACCTCCCAGGCGTGTTTGTGTATCCTGGCAGAGCATATTCCCTATTCTGTCTTCTACCACTCTAGAAGATGAACAGAATAAGGCAATTAGCCTAATACTAAGACTGTAGGACAAGTTTTTAGATCTGAAAGAGGAGATTCATATGCTAGAACAAACAAGCCTTCCTCCATCTAGGCATAGGGAGCTTCTTTCTGCCAGTGTATCACTGGTATGGTGGGTACTCGGGTCTTGTTTAGAGTGCAGTGGTTTTTCCCCTCGCATACCGCTGACTCTTCTTTGTTTCACAGGGTTTAAGCACTTGGTACAGGTACTCATACACACTACAAAGCCTTACTATGGGCAAGTGCTGCCAGACACTGAGGTGCTGTGGGACCTTGCGGAGGGGTCTTCAGGGCACGTGCTGCTGAGGAGGTCTTCAAGGCACCGCTCTGCATAACAGGCACCGATGAAAGCAGGCACCGTGTGAACTCTCATGGAAAGAGACGCTCTTATCGTGGCTTATGTAATCACCTGAAGAACAACCACCCCCAGCCCGTGCCAGTAATCCACATCCAGTTCGAACATGCGGCTTCCTCAGCCTGGCCTGAGCGCTGCTGGCTGGACAGACGCTGCGTCATGGAGCAGCAATGCAGCCCTCCCGCTGCGTTAGGAAACCACCTGAAGTGCTGGTGTTGCTGAAGCACTTATCTTTGATGGTTTTGCCTGCATTAGAAGTTACTTCTCTTTCCTGTGACTGTGGGAGAACATGTGAAAATCACCCATCTAATCACCTCTGAGGGGAAAACCAGCATCCAGGCTAAAGCGTACCGAGTGGAGAGCGGGTTTGGCTGTGGCAGGGAGCAGCTGCGTGTCCGGCTGGAGTGGGAACTGAGCTTGTATCGTACAAGAGAGCTGTGTACCTCAGCTGAGCTATAAAATCCAGAATGTGGGAAATAAGGGTCCTTTTTCACTCATACCAAGTTTTGTTTGAGGTGAGGATGGTGTGTGAGCAAAAGGCAGCCTCGGAGATCACATCCTCCAAGCCTCTTCTCTCTACTCTTCCTGTGCCCAGGGATAGTGCAGGGGCACAGTGCAGCACAGCATCTGCTCCCTTGGTCTGAATAAGAGCTACCCCTGTCAGGGACGCTGAAAAGAGCCGGAATCCAGCACCTGTGAGCTGTAAGTGGTGGGAATTTAGAGACCAGTTTCACATGTTTAGTCCTGGATCTGTCTCATCCTGCAGGGAGAGGACTGCCCAGACTGTGCGTGGGGAGGATGTGTTTGTTTAACCACAGCTCAGCACTTAGTCTCGGTGGTGATTTGGATAATCACTTCCCAAGTGCTCGTGCGGCTCCTGCCCCTTTGCTGCCGTTGGGGATGGTTGTCCCTCTCCCTCTGCAGTGGAGGTGAACCAGAAAAGGAGGATGGTTCTAGGTAAGTGCTTCCAGACCAGTGCAGCCTCAGGAGCCGTTATGTCTGATCTAATTCCAGCCTCCCTGGCTCCTGTCTTGGCTTCCCTTCTCCCTCTCATCTACAGCATCACCTTAACTCTGGAGAGGCTTCTGAGTGTCTCCGCCAGCCTTACACTGCTGCAGCACAGGCCTGAGGGTGGAAATCTTGCCTTCCTGTATTCGCAGTGGCAGGTCAGATCCTTATGGGATCTCGTGGGGAATGCTGCCCGGAAAGCAAGCATGTGTTTCTGGTGTCTTTGGGCAACAGCAAGGTGGCCACATGCTATTAGTAACACTAAGCTGTGGTTAAGTAATGCGTGCCTTGCACCTCAGTGATGCACGTGGATAGCTGGCTGATGGCTCTTGCATCCCATAGCAGGAGTGTAGGACAGTGAGCTCTCTCCCAGGTCCTGCTGCAATTCCATGTTTTCTTTGGCTTTGCATTGATTTCCTCTGCTTTAATCTTCATGAGCGAGAGCAGGGAAGTGAAGCGCTCGCGGCTCGGTGAGTGTGTGAAGCTGTGAGCCCTACTAATGCACCTATGGCCTCGGGCTGCCACCTCCTGACCAGAGCTAATTTGGCTTCTCTCGGGTCTCATGGTGGCCCCACGTGTGTGTTTTGGCAGGAGCAGCTGCGGAAGGTGCGGGTGTCTGCGGGAGGACGGGTGCCGGCGCTGGTTGTGCTGCAGCCCTTGCCCTGGAGCAGCGCTTGCGTCTGCCCATGGATCTCACCGCGCCAGCAGGGCCAGGTCTGATCACTGCAGGTGTCCCCCGGCCCCGCGCGAAGGTCCCGTCTTCCAGCAGGGTTCCCCCAGTTCCTGCGGGAACATGTGCTGTTGTCTGGAGGAGCTGGTCGCAGTTGGATCCCAGCTCTGCTGCCGCTCAGCCCCTCACACGGCTGCTCCGGCTCTGTGCTGCGAGGGAGCTGTTTTGAGTTAGCAGACAAAGCAGCTGAGGTCATCGAGCTCTTACTCATGTAGTTCCACCCCTGCCAAAACAAAGGATGGAAACCTCTTACCAAGCCCATGATCCCAGCTGAGGCTCTATCCCCTGGGCTCTGCTTGCAAAAGCCCCTGCATCTCCTCTTCAGCTGGACCCTGCTAATGCCCTGTGATGGAGAGCACCCCGGCTTGGCCGTGAGGTGGGTACCAGGGTCTGTTGGGTGCTCCTGGCTCAGAGCAGCCCCTTGGTGACCGCACTGGGTGAGCAGTGAAGGTGGGTCCAGGAGGGCTGGAACTGGTCTCGTACAAGACTTAAGCATCTGAATTGTTACATGCTCCCATCTTTGGATATTCCTTCTCAGAAGAACGCACTCGTGAGCGCGTTGCCCATGGCAG